TCTCGCTTTTAGTGCAATGCAATTTACGTAAATTTATCTTTCGCGAATGTTTTTCTTTCGCATATCTGTGTATTCCTGGAAGCATCATAAATCATTAATAAAATATTTACCAGAGTTAAAAGCATAAATATAGAAAATACAAATAATGCAAAGTAGATGGAAAATTTTATTGAAACAATATAAATATTTTGTATAAATAAACAAGAAAATAATTATAGCGGTATAAATAATTGTAAAAAAATATTTCTAAAAAATGCTGTAATTAAAATAAGACATACATACACATTTTTATATGTACATATAGAATAAATATAAGTCTAAATAAATTTATAATATTTTATTTTATATTTTATATTATTAGCAAAATTATCTATATTTACGCAAGTTATTTTTTTATAATCTTGGACACATAATTTGAAAAACTTTTATGCATATTTTCTAGTAGGCTTTGTTTTCTTGTAAATCTCTAACGTTTTCTCTATTCTCATGATTTGGCGCATTTTAGATGTACCGCAAAAATAGAAAATTTCTCTATCGTACATTTATATGCGGAAAAGTGCGCGCAAATACTTTGCGGTGAAAATTCGTTTGGCTATTTACTCGGCAGATCAACTCTCTCGTGACTTCACACTATTGTTTCATCGCATCAACACAGAAAAAAAGGAATCCTTGATTCAAGTATATTTTATTCTTGAACGTTATTTGATTGATTTAAGCATAGAATGCTCTTTGTAATCACAAATTTTCATTTGTTTTAATAATAAATAAGTTTGTGTGAAGTATATTTTATTCTTAAGATATATTCTTGTTTTAAAAATCGCATATGGTAAAAACAAACTTAGTTACATTTGAACTAAGAATTATTATATATACTTGAAAGTACCGCTTATATCCGATGCTCACTTGTCACTTGTCCTTGCAATATTTATAAGTAAATTTCAGCTTCAACCAAGAATATTTTGTACTTTGTTTTAAGGATAAATTATCCTTTATCCAAAATTATTTATATTTGGCGCTATTATAAGGATAAAATATACTTGAATCAAGGCATCTTTGCATTCTTTCAAAGATACTGTTTTTTCTGTCAAGATAACTCATCTTCTAAATTCTACAGTTTATAAATTTAAATGAACGATTTTGAGTAATTATTACCATATTTCTTATTAATTTATGTAAAATGTAATATATATATATAATTTATTATATATTTTATTCATTATATATTTCATATATTTTATTTATTATATATTTTATATATTTTAGATTTTTTATATGTGTACATATAATAAATAAAATATTGTTTAATATAAAGTGCTTTATTTAATAAATAAATATATTGTGTGTTTTTTTATATATATTATGTAAATAAATATGTGTCATATTTATTATATATTGACTATTTCATCAGTTTACAATTAATCAAACATTAATCAAATATTTTGTGTCAATAACATTTAATTACTTAATCACACTTAATTATTTTAATCACAGTTTGTTTAATCACATGTTACACATGTCATATAATTATATATTTTATATTTTTTAATTATAAAGCTCAATTTATATTTTGTTATATAGATTTTTTAAAAATGCAAATAATAAACTATAAACACAGATACTATTAACATTTTTTATAAACATTTACATTGGAAAAATGTAATTCAATAATTTTATCTTAAAAAAGATGATTTTAATTTAAACAGTTCTGTTAAAAATAGATTTCTGAAGAAAAATAGATACAAAAATATATAATATCGATATAATGTGCGAATTACAACTGATATGAGTAAAAAATTGTGCAAATTGAAATTTGCACATTGCTCCTTCGCCATATTAATTCAATTATGGCTTCCTCATACAGGAAGCTTTATATTTATTACGTAAAATTTGAAAATTATTTTTTTGAAAATTTAAAATTTTATAATTCACCGATCCATGTTAAATTCAACACTAAATATCCTGATATTTAAATTTTGTTACATAAAGTAACAATTTTTAAAAAATTAGATATTATTATAAATTTATAAGATATTATTAATTTATAAAAGTTAGAGCACACACACACAACAAAAGTCATTTTTCGAAAAATTCAAAATTTTATAAAAAATCTCTTTCCCCGAACCTTGTCAAATTCAATACCAATTTTTGATTTCATAACCATCCTTTGATGATAGTCTATTTATATTAAAAAATTTATTAAGATATTTTTTTTTTTTTTTAATTTACGAAAGTTAGAGCAACCACGGACATTTCTTTAAAAAATTCAAAATTTTATAAAAAATGGAATACTTTATGAATTTTTCTATAAATTATAGTAAATAAACGTGTAATTTAACTTTACTTGTATGCCAAATTACAGCGCTGCAAGTCGTATCATTTTTGAGATATTTAAATCTAAACATAAATGTGGGTGTGCACATATATACGTACTTACATATCCATTTTTTAAATGTGATTTTTCGATGTTTTGGAACATTCTAAACACATTGGTATAGAAATCTGAAAAAAACTTTTTTCACCAAAACAAAGCTTCCTCTATGAAGAAGCAAAAGAAAGATTTGCAAAATAGAACAAATATTAGTGACACTGAAGTATAAAATATCTCCTAAAGTAAATTATAGTTTACTCTTATAACTTTTTATAATGAATATTGCGAGGAATCAATTTATATAAAAAATATATATCGACTACATTCAATTCGTGACAGATATCATATATTGATAAAGTTTACATTTTAATGTAAATAATAGTATTTAAATAATAAATGTAAAAAAATCACAAATAAAAACTTAAATAAATAATATTGAAAAATAAATAAAATTTAAATAAAAAACAAATATATGTATTTAATTTAAAAAATATTAAAAGTTTAAATTTAACTATTATTTTAATTTAACTATATTATTTTAACCATTATTTAATATGAAAATGTTTAATTTTAATGAAGAGAGGACATTCTGCGAATTCTGAATTTATTTTTTAATCTATAATCGGTTTATGATCTAGCACAGAAATATATTTATTTTATTTATACACACACATATATACGTATGTATACACATATACATGTACAGGGTGTCCGGTAACTAACAGACCAACGATTACAAATGGATTCTTTGGTCAATTTGGGAACAATTTTTCCTCAGCGAAAATGTCGAAAAAGGTCATCATTTTTTACAACTTTCCAATATTTGTCATTATGTATCTTTATAACTAAGTCTCAAATTAAAATTTTATTATAGTAAACTCTACCTGAAATTAACTGAAGAATGTAATTATGTTAGACTTTTAACTCCAAAACGTTTAGTTTTCAAAAAACCAATTTTTTTCAATCACTAATAACTCGAAAATTATTGACTTCTCAACATTTTTGCTAAGAAAAAATCGTCTCCAAATTGGCTAGAGAATCCGCCCTTAATCATTGGTCCGTTAGTTACCGGACACCCTGTATGTATATATACACATATGTATATTCTATATATATAGACTCGTAATGATAAGAACAATCATTACACGTCTCATGTTGTCTCATATGTATACTACATACATTATCTTTGAAATGTGTGTTATCAAATAATTATTATTATACAAAAGTGTCGTAAATGTATTCTATATTCTTATTGTCAAATTCAATGTCATAATAATAATAATAAAATATTATAGAAAGGAAACAAGAAATTCTTTTAAAAAATTAAAATAGTTTGATATATTCATTTAATTATAATTATATGAATATATCAAACTATTTTAATATATATATATGTAGATAAAATAAAATATCTACTATTTTAGAAAATTGAAGTTGAAGAATGAGATTTTGCATCGTAATAATAATATCTTAATCAAATATTTTTTCGATGGAAAAGTATAAAAGATATGTATAGTATATAAATATATATATATATATATATATATATATGTAAGTATATTTTATATTCACACGTTAATAATAATACATTTGATGACATTTAGTTAACAAATAAAACCAAAACAAAATAAAATTAATTAATTTGTATTAGAAATAAAACTAAATAAAATAATTTAGTATAATATATATATATATATATATATATATATAAAAGTAATTTGTATTAAATATAATAATAAATAATAAACTCAAAATATTAAAATTAAATATACATATATTTGAAACAACTTAATTTTATAAAAATTTTATGAAATAAAATCTCTAAATCTCTATAATACACTCAGACAGCACACAATATTTATGATAAAGATTCATAAATATTTATGAATATTTTTTTTTTTAATATATTACATAAATATTTTAAAAAAGTTTTAAAAAACCTTTATTTAACATATTATTAAAACATAGATTAAATATAAAACTTCAAAAACATTTATAAAATATTTATGATAAATATTTCTAAACTATTTCTAAAATACTAAAATAATTAATTATTATAAATATTCTATAAATATTTTATAAATATTCTGTGCTGTTTGGGAATGTATTATATGAAATAAATTGTGAATAACATATATTTATAGCATATATATATATATATATATATATATGTGTGTGTGTGTGTGTGTGTGTGTGTGTGTGTGTGTGTGTGTGTGTATACATATATAATTACATTGTAGCAAAAATTTATATTTATTTTAATGTAATAATAAAATTACCATATTGTTAGTTAGATTTCTCGCGCATGCGCACTGAAATTTTGTCCGTAATCCTTGACTTTCCTGTCCAAAAGCCGACTGAATGCTCCCTAATATCTACTTCATTCATATGACACAAGATGGCGGTATTATTGCGTACCGATTTTTTAGAATGAATTCTTCACTATATATTTTTATGTAATTAACGATTGACAGGAATTGACAGAAGCAGACAGAAGAATCAGCAGACGAATCGAATATGAAGTATCAGATAAATATATATTCTGAAATAATCCAGAGCACGTAACAGATAAATAAAATACTTATATGAACAATATATATGTATTTAAAAATAAATAAATAAATAAATAAAATATGAAATAAGAGTCAAAATATTAAACGATAAAATAAATATGTAAAATAAGACGATTGACATAAATATTTTCCATGTTACATACAATAATGTGTGTTCGCATAATACTGGTGTAATTAATTTTGATTGTGTTAAATAACTACTTTAATATAACTGTCGACAAAAAAGTTAATCAGTGACATGTCATAATAAAATACAAAGAACAATAAATAGCAATCAACAAGCATTTCATTTCACAAGTATTAAAAAAAAACTTGCGAAAATACTTAGGTACTATATAAAATAAATGATATATAAATATATGTTAATACTTTGCTGAAATATAATTTTATACTTTTTCTAGATTCCATCAAAACTTGCAAAGCTCATTTTATAACTCAATGATTCAAGCAGATTAAGGATATTCATGGAATATATTCAATACAATTTGATTTGGCCGAAGCAATCTTGTAACAGACACTTCTAGTCTCTTGATTCCGCTAAATTGCAAGAAGCCTCAAAATGGGGTCCGAACAAAGCTCTCAAAGTGGTAATCAGGGTACTAACAGTGGAAGAGCGAGGACCACTCAGCTTAGACGGGGCAAAAGTGTTCCAAATCGCGAAAGAATGCCAGAAGATACTCCACCGAGGTGCACCAGTCCTGGCGCCAGCATTTGCTCTGATTCTGATCTTCCATACATCTCTTATACTGTGAATCGACCCATCGGAGATTCCCCAAAAATGACTAACAAGCAGTCGCAGCTTTACAGAGGAAAGACAATCGGAGCTGGAGAGATCTCGAGGCGAAAAATAGCCTGGGCACTATGAATCACAGGTGCGTCCATCATGAAATGTTAGTTTGCAATCAACTCTCCACAATTTTTGATAAAATATAGAAATATATAATTAAGAGAAAATAAATTCAGACATGAAAAGATCTAAGAGTCACAAACTTATTTTGAATGTTTGATTCATCCTTTATCCATCAGCATATTAGTTCTGAAGGAAGAAATAGAACATTCAATATAAGTAGAGAAATTCAAAAATAATTTTGTTGCACCTAATATTTGTGCTTGATTTTTACTGGTCTTTTTCTTATCTGAATTTATATTTATTAGAGCTTTTTCAATTTTTATTATTTAAAAAAAAATAGATAATACTTTTCACATTTTGCCAAATGATACTCAGAATTTTATTTTTCTTATGCTATTTAAAAGTGTTAATATAATATGTAATACTTTATCACATAAAATAGGATTACTATATTTTATATGCATCAATCTAATATATAAGGTGTATTATATGTATGCATCTCTGGAATGAATGATGAAGTCAAAATAAGTTGAATATAAAGAATGACAAAATTACGTTTGAGCTTTCTTTAAAGTTATAATCAAATAATTGAAACAGCTGTGTGGCTTATTATTTTTATTTGATTTTGAATTAAAAATTTGTAATTGTTTTTATAATAATAAATTAAGAATCAATTACAATTAATTAACAAATAGACAATAAGATTAGAAACACAGAACTTCAGGTAACAAGTGTATGCAATTTTGACGTTTAATGATATGCTAGATATTTTAAAGCGTTTGATCAATCAAAATTAAATAAGTAAAGATTTTATCTCGATTGGTTAATATAGTGCTTCGTAACATGTCTATAATGTTTCTCTGACTGCAACAAGAATTTTCAGATGAACACTTGAAACACACAATTTCGATTCTAACTCTTTAAAGAAGACTCAAACGTATTTTGTCATTCTTTACTACTATACTTTACATATTTATTACTATTATATAATACGTTATTTCAGTACACATGAAAAGGACCAAAGTTATGATCGAAACGTTGTGAGATTTATTAAATAAAGAATTGTCATTATTGGTGGAGACATATTTATTCCTTTGTCATTCTTTACTTTCGACTTCGTCAATTCATTCTCCAGAAATAGGACGTGACTTATGATACACCTGTATACATTTTATTGATTTGATCTCTTTTCTATTCCTCGATCAGGCATACGAAGACCAATGCATCAGATAACAAAATCCATAATATTGTGGTAGTAAAGCCGGCTCAAGCGGATCCTACAGCGGACAAGGATCCTGATTTAGTGAAACTGCAGACTATCCCGATGTTCCTGCCGATTATGCGTGGCACGTTGAACCTACCGCCGGGTGTGCGTGATCCAGAGGTCCTGGAGAGACTCGATCCGGTCGGCCTGTTCAACTTGTGCGCGCGTTATCAGCATCATCTCAATGCGAACGCGCAGACAATAGCCGCGGAGCAGCTTGCTCTGTGCACCAATATGGAAACGGAATTCGCTAAGACGCTGAATTTCGCTGTTGATCGACAGAAGAGGTTCGCCAGATTCGCCGAGCAGCTGAACAAGGTGCACGAACTCAGCCGCCAGCTCACCAGATGCCACTCGCTTCTTAATCAAACTCTCGAGAGCCTCGAGACGCTCAACAATCTGTTGCCGATAGAAGAGAGACTCGAACCTTTTGTCTGGACCACGGGTTAAATCGGGAGATATTGCGATCGATAATCATTACTCATTCACTCGTTTTTTCTAGCAAAGAAAAGCATCGTAATTCTCTAACTTGGAAAAGAAAATTACAAGTTAAACATTATAAGAGTTTTGACATCTAGTCTCTACATGCCATGGAAAAGATAAGAAAATCAAATTAATAAAAAGAAAACAAATATGCATTCTTGATTGAAAACACAATTTATTGTCTTTGTAAATTTTAAACATACCCCTAGCAGCTTCTATTAGCCCATCGCTGGGATTTCAGTTGTCTGTAGACAGTGAAAGCTTCTCCTGTTTTCTTCTTTTTATCACAGGTAAGTTCTTTTTTTTCTTTATTAATTAAAGAGCCCTATATCATCCTTCCTTTCCTCTTGATATTTCTATGTTTAGCTCGCAATGTTTGTACATTGTCCTTTTCACGTTTGCACTTTGTTAGATCCCGAATTTGATCAGTTTCAAGGTCCTGTTCAATCTGAACACTATACTTCTTCTCAAACGTAGTTTCCTTGAGAAAAACATGGATTTCTTTAGAAATTTTGTGCAAAAATTGTTTACCAGAGTCAACTGGTCGCTGTTGAAATACTGATACAGTTTTCTCTGTCTTTATTTTTGGATCCAAACTTGGTTTAAGCTGTTGCTGGCCTACGTGGATGAACTGGTCTTTCTTCTTACGTTTCCTTTTTAAAATCCTATTATTAGTTTTAGCTTTATTAATCTAAACATACCCTAGCAGCTGCTATTAGCCAATCGCTGGGACTTCAGCTGTCTGTAGGCAGCAATAGCTTTGCTCTGTTGTTTCTCCAATTTTTTTCTCTCCACCACAGGTAAGTTCTTTCTCTTTCCTGATCGATTGATCACTTTGGAGGTACAAGAAGGTTTAGAATTTTCCAACAGTGAATTCAGCAATAAATTCTTCGGTTTTCTTTCTTCATTAAACTTCTTTGATTTGATATTCAACTTTGGTGGTTCGTGAACCACTTCATTAAAGGCAACCTTGTCTTGCAAGCTCTCAAACTCGTCCACATCCTCTACTCTCCTTTCCTTCTTCAATTGGAACTTCAGTTTTCGTTTCTCGTTCTTTGTCAAAGAGTCCTCGGTTGTTCCTCTCTTCCTCTTAATATTTTTGTGCTTAGTTCGCAACGTTTCTATATCATCTTTCTCACGCTTGCACTTTGTTAGACCCTGAATCTGACCAGTCTCAGGGTTCCGATCAATCTGCACACTATACTTCTTCTCGAACGCGGTCTCCTTGAGAAAGGCATGGGTCTCCCTAGAAACTCTGTGGAAGAATTCTTCGCCAGATTCATTCGGTCGCTGCTGAAACACGGGTACGACTTTCTCCGGCTTCGCTTTCGGATGCAAACCTGATTTAAGTTTTTGCTGCTGGCCCACACAGATCAGCTGATTCTTCCTTCGTCGCTTTCTCTTCGAAACGCTATTAGTACTCGTTTTTGCGGCCTCCTTTAATTTCATCAGCCGCTCCAGACTCTTCGGGATCGCCTGCTCATCCACGTCTCTCGGTGCCGCATTCGTGCGCGATTCCAATCTAAAAACCTCGCTCGCGGGTTAAGATAAATTATCGTTTACAGGCGCATTATTTTTGCTTCGGAGCATTCGACGGACCAATCAGAACGAAGAATCCGGCGGCTTGAAGCGAAAATGCCGTCAAATGCGGGGCGCATCTTATACAGGGTGTCCCATTTTGATCTATCGCCCCTCGTAATTTTGCAGGGAATGTAGAAAAAAATGTTTCGGACAAAAGTTGTAGGATTCAGAGACCGTCTGATGACCTTAATCTTGACCTTGGGGTCAAATTTGAAGGTCAATATATAAAAGCTTTAAGAGCTTTGGAAAATATTGAATGAAAAAATACTTTATTATAATTTTTTGGAAAATTTGACCGCAGGTCAAGATCAAGGTCACTACCAGATGATCTCCTCTAAACCCTACAATTTTTGTCTGAAATATTTCTCTATGACCGTTCCCTGAAGTTATGAGGAGTGATAGATTAAAATGGGACACCCTGTATATACGTCGTAACCTTAAATTTTGTTTGACAACTTACTCGGCTAAGCGTTTAGCACGCTGTTTTTCAGGATCCTTGACACCTCGGTGCCTCTTCGCCGGTATCTTGCGACCCATATTTGCCTTTTATCACTCTTCTCTGCAATCCGTCGGCGTAAATATATGAAAATATGTATCAATCAACGAGCGTGATATTTTTCCAACGCATGCGTAGTTCACGCAATAGTTCACCAGAAACAACACGGTATACATAGAGAGGAAACAGAAAAAAAAGGAAGAGAGAATTTTAGGTCCTGTGCACAATATAGAAAATATTGGAAATAGGAATTAATATTTGTTTAAATAGGAATTGAGAAAATGTAATATTATAGAAAATACAAATATTAATTAATATTATTTTGTTTTCGAAAAAGAAATTTCCTCATTGGACAATTGCTTACGTTCTGACATTCGACTGCGACGTATTGTAGAACGAGCCTAAACTAGGCCAATACTTTTTTTTGTCGCATGACGTAATTATTAATAACTAATGCTGGAATGAACAGCTAAAAACTTTGCATGTCATCAACGTCATCATATATGATCTTAAGGGTCGGCAGTACACCCAGGCACAGATTAATAGACAGATCGCCAAAGGCCTGCCTAAAGAATAGACCGCCATCTTCGTGCGATAGACTTTGCCCCTTACCGACACACTTTGCCCCTGGTTCGAGTCCGTGCTAAATTTCGTAGACTTGAACCAAAAGACTTTGCCCCTGGTTCGAGTCCGTGCTAAATTTCGTAGACTCGACCAAAAGACTTTGCCCCTGGTGCAAGTCCAGGCTAAATTCGTTTGACATTACCAACAGACTTTGCCCCTGGTGCGAATCCAGGCTAATTGATCATGAGACCAATTTGAGAGATTTGGCCCCCGTTGTGTGTGTGTGTGTGTGTGTGTGAGAGAGAGAGAGAGAGAGAGAGAGAGAGAGAGAGAGAGAGAAAGAGATATTTTACATATATATATATATATATATATATATATTATATTTATTAAATAAATATTTTTTTACACATAAAATGTTTTTTTATTGAAATAATCACGATTTTAAATGTGATATAACACAGTGTTCAAAAATTTTTAATTAAATTTTATTAAAGAAAATTACTTGAAATTTTTTACATTAAGAATTTAAAGGCTCCTTATTCTCTTGTAGAAATTTATCACTATGCCAATTAATCACTTATTTCGAGTATTTAAAATACTATAATATACAGTAATTTAAGTATTCGAAATAAAAGTGATTAATTACTCGAAATAAAATTGATAAATTGGCGTTACTAGTAATAAATTTCTATAAGGGTTGAAATAAAGTATAAGAGATAAATAGGCTATATGTGAGCCGTATGCGAAATGTGAGATGTAAGACGCATATTGAAATTTAATTTTTCGATATAACTTTCAAAAATGTACACGAGGTACAAAAAATTAGCTTGGACATTTGTAAGACTTAAAATTGGGATTAATTCTCAATTCTATTAATTAAATTTCGATATAACACACCTTACATCCGCGCACGGCTCACATATAGCCCATTTATTAGTGCAATTTTTAAGTTCCTTATTTTTCAAAGTTCACCTTTTTACGTTATCAAATATTTTTGGTACGTTTTCAAGAATTTTATATTTTTACTTACCGCAGTTTCTTATCCAAATGTAAAATCTTTTATCGCAGTCTATAAAAAATTGAAACAATTTACAATTTTATGATATAATATTATTATTATTACAATTTCTATATATATGCACATCTGTCAAATATCGTGATTTATTTCACATTATTATTATCTATTTTAATAAAAAAAAAAAAAAAAAACACTTGCAACAATCAAAAATAAACCGCCTGCCGCGAACGGAAAATGCCAAGAAAGCACGCAATTTCCGCGAATCTCGTAATTTTTTTGAAGAATCAACAATTTCAACGAAATTGTAAATTCTTCAAATCACTGCACAAGTATAATTCACAATAATAATTTTCAGTAACTACGATAAAAAATCGTATACTGAAAACCGCAAACGAAAGTGCAATGGAAGTAAGAGTAAAGTCTGTGATAAAATTAATTGGCAATAGAAAATTAATAATTTTCAAATAGAAAAATTTTGAAATTACCGAGGATTTACAAATAATAAAGTAAAAATATTAAATAATTTATGTTTTCGAATTTTGCTCGCGGAGAGGATCTTTAAAACAAGATTTTTAGAAGAGAGGACCTTTAAAATATAAACAGGCAAAAACGTTGAAAAAATTAAAGCGCGCGTTTAAACAGATAAACGCAATGAAATAGATACGCAATTGTTTTTACTTATCGCTGTAAGCTCACAAGCTTCTGACGTGCTATACACTTTTATATAATATATACAGGGTGTCCGGTAACTAACGGACCAATGATTAAGGGCGGATTCTCTGGCCAATTTGGAGACGATTTTTCCTTAGCAAAAATGTAGAGAAGTCAATAATTTTCGAGTTATAAGCGATTGAAAAAAATAGGTTTTTTGAAAACTAAACGTTTTGGAGTTAAAAGTCTAACATAATTACATTCTTCAGTTAATTTCAGGTAGAGTTTACTATAATAAAATTTTAATTTAAGGCTTAGTTATAAAGATATATAATGACAAAGATTGGAAAGTTGTAAAAAATGATGACCTTTTTCGACATTTTCGCTGAGGAAAAATCGTTCCCAAATTGACCAAAGAATCCATTTGTAATCATTGGTCTGTTAGTTACCGGACACCCTGTATATTGGACACGAGTTTCGTTTGTTTCAGATTCTCGAGAGTTGAAGTAGGAACATACGAGTATCATATATCGTTTGTGACTTGCCGAATGAAAGCAAGACAGAGAGCGAACGAGATGATGAGCTTAATAGCTCATAATGTTATAAATAAATAAATAAAAAATTATAACTGACCTACTAGTTATTGAATCTTTTTTAATAAAATGTTTCATTATTATTATCATCTAAGTCTAAGTCGTTTAATTACTTTTTAGTTTTTTAATAATTAATTTAATTTATTCTAGTCATTTTTATATGAGAAAAATAATATCACGTATACGTTTTATAATGAATTAATATATTTCGGGAACCGAATTATATATTCTTAATAATATTAAAGTGTTTAAAAATTATATTTGACTTTTAATTTTAATTATTTTTAGCAAAGAGTTTCGAAATCTCTTACACACATAATGGGGATTTTTTTCATCCATATATTCGCAATTAGTATATATGTTAATTATTAATTTTAATAAAATAAAAATTAAAATTAAAGGTCAAATATAATTTTTAAACACAAATATATTAAATTAATTATAAAACGTATACCCATGATAGTATTTTTCTCGTACGAAAATAATTAGAGTAAATTAAATTAATCATAAAAGATTAAAAATTAATTAAAGAATTTAAACTTATATTTTATATAATAATAATAAAACATTTTATTACGTCAAACCGTCGTGAAATAATTAAATAAAATTTGCTAGTTACGTCGAAGTCAAGTTTTCTAAGCTTATAAAACATTTTATTAAAAAACAGATTCAATAAATATAAGTACATGTTATATATACTTATATTTATTGAATCTGTTTTTTTTATAAAATGTTTTATTATTATCATATAAAATATAAATTATTTAATTATTTTTTTATTTTTTTATGAGTAATTTAATTTATTCTAGTTATTTTTGTACGAGAAAAATACTATCACGGGTATACGTTTTATAACAAATTAAATATATTTATGTTCAAAAATTATATTTGACCTTTAATTTTAATTTTGTATTTTATTAAAATTAATAATTAACATATATACTTAATTGCGAATTATATGGATGAACAAAATCCCTATTATGTGTGTAAGAGATTTCGGAACTCTTTGCTAAAATAATTAAAATTAAAAGTCAAATATAATTTTTGAACACTTTTATATTATTAAAAATATATAATTCGACTCTCGAAATATATTAATTCATTATAAAACGTATACGTATTAGTATTTTTCACATATTGAAATGATTAGAATAAATTAAATTAATTATTAAAAAACTAAAAATTAATTAAACGACTTAGACTTAGATGATAATAATAATGAAACATTTATTAAAAAATAATTATAATAGGTCAGGTTAATATTTTATTTATTTATTTATTTATAACATCATAAATTCTGTCCTTTCCGAAATACGCGAACGCTACGAAAAGATAAATCTCGTACATGCCGCCGGACGAGTTCATGAGCATGAGACGCTCTTATCTTGGGAACGTATTAATAGTTACTGCATTGACCACTACTACAATATGGCGCTGAAATCAGTGAGAAATGCTGGTCTCTCCTTCATCCAGACCTTTGGCGATCTGTCTATTAATCTGTGGCAGTACAACCCAGGCCACAGATTAATAGACAGATCGCCAAAGGCCTGCCTAAAGAAGAGACCGCCATCTTCGTGCGATAGACTTTGCCCCTTACCGACACACTTTGCCCCTGGTTCGAGTCCGTGCTAAATTTCGTAGACTTGAACCAAAAGACTTTGCCCTGGTTCGAGTCCGTGCTAAATTCGTAGACTCGACCAAAGACTTTGCCCCTGGTGCAAGTCCAGGCTAAATTCGTTTGACATTACCAACAGACTTTGCCCCTGGTGCGAATCAGGCTAATTGATCATGAGACCAATTTGAGAGATTTGGCCCCCGTTGTGTGTCACAGATTAATAGACAGATCGCCAAAGGCCTGCCTAAAGAAGAGACCGCCATCTTCGTGCGATAGACTTTGCCCCTTACCGACACACTTTGCCCCTGGTTCGAGTCCGTGCTAAATTCGTAGACTTGAACCAAAAGACTTTGCCCCTGGTTCGAGTCCGTGCTAAATTTCGTAGACTCGACCAAAAGACTTTGCCCCTGGTGCAAGTCCAGGCTAAATTCGTTTGACATTACCAACAGACTTTGCCCCTGGTGCGAATCCAGGCTAATTGATCATGAGACCAATTTGAGAGATTTGGCCCCCGTTGTGTGTGTGTGTGTGTGTGAGAGAGAGAGAGAGAGAGGAGAGAGAGAGAGAGAGAGAGAGAATATTTTACATATATGCATATATATATAAAATTTATTAAATATAAAAAATATATTTTTTACACATAAAATGTTTTTTTATTGAAATAATCACGATTTTAAATGTGATATAACACAGTGTTCAAAAATT